TTTGTTTTGGGGGGGGGGGGGGTCGGCTTGGGGAGAGGAGGAGGGAGACGAAGTGGCGTGGTGCCGACATGGGTTTCTTAGTTCACCCTGCGAGGGGAGGGATTTGTTTGAACGAGGCGATGAATGAGTGGTAGAGACGACACGTGTACACGGCTCGAAAGCTACAGGTGTGTGGCGGTGGTTGGGTGTACGGGAGAGTGCGAGATTTTGGATCAAGTTGATTGGCGTATATACACGTGTACACACGCTGAGTTTCACGATTGACATGACATGACATGAGCATGTACTGTATCTCCTCCCAGTGGTACGCGTCCTCGAGCTACCTCAATCTTCAACGCGAGCAAGCTCCAGCTCGGCAAGCTCCAGCTCGGCCACCGTGCGTCGCGCCCGTTCTCCCCCACTCTCCCCGTTTACGTGTAGGCGCGCCTTCATGTCGCCGCCGTCAGTGTCCCGCCCAGCAGCGCCACCGCCTCCTTGAGCGCCTCGATAAATACGTCCACCTCCTCCCTCGTGTTATAAACGTACAAGCTCGCCCTCGCCGACGACGCGACGCCCAGTTCGCGATGCAGCGGCTGCGCGCAGTGGTGCCCGGAGCGCACGGCGACGCCCTCCAAGTCGAGCATAGTCGCCAAGTCGCTGCTGTGCACGCCGTCGACGTTGAACGCGCACAGGGCTGCGCGCGGGCCGCGCGGCCCGTACACGCGCACCTCCTTCAACGCTGTCAGCCGCTCGTACAGGTACTCGGCAAGCTCCGTCTCGTATGCGTGCACGCGCTCCATGCCGAGCCCCTGTAGGTACTCGATGGCGGCGCCGAAGGCGACGATCTCGCCGATCGCGGGCGTGCCGGCCTCGAACTTGTGCGGCAGCTCGGCGTACGTCGAGTGGTCCAGAAAGACGTCGGCGATCATCTCGCCGCCGCCCATGTACGGGGGCATCTGCTCCAGCAGGGCCCTCCTCCCCCACAGGAAGCCGACGCCGGTCGGGCCGCACATCTTGTGCGCCGACGCGACGAAGAAGTCGCACCCGATGGCGCCCACGTCCACGGGCATGTGCGGCACGGACTGGCACGCGTCCACGAGGACGATGGCGCCGGCCGCGTGGGCCGCGCGCGCGATCTCGGCGACCGGGTTGATGCACGCGAGCACGTTGGACACGTGCGAGCACGCGACCAGCTTGACGTTGCCCTCGGCCAGGATGCGGTCGAGCGCGGCGAGATCGTACTGCTCGTCGGACGTGAGCGGGACGGGGACGACCTCCGCGCCGACCTGGGCGGCAACCATCTGCCACGGGACGAGGTTTGCGTGGTGCTCCATGACGGACACGACGATGCGGTCGCCGCGGCGGAGGTTGGCGGCGCCCCACGCCGCGGCGACCAGGTTGATGCTCTCGGTGGCGTTGCGCGTGAAGACGACCTCGTCGCGCGACGGGGCGCGGATCAGGTCCGCCACCAGGTCGCGCGTGCGCTCGTACGCGTCCGTGGCGCGCGCGGCGAGTGTGTGCGCGCCGCGGTGGACGTTGGAGTTGAGGCTGTCGTAGTAGCCCGTGAGCGCGTCAATGACGACGAGCGGCTTTTGAGAGGTGGCCGCAGAGTCCAGGTAGACCAGCGGGCGGTCGTTGACCTGCTGCGCGAGGATGGGGAAGTCGTCGCGGTTGACGAGGCATCCGGGAGACTGGATGGCGGTGCGTGCGAATACAGTGGCTTTTCGTTTCGCCGTTCCCCGCGGGGCGATGGAGGCTCGGTTCCGCTGGTGCCCCGGTAGCGCGGCCGGAGGAAGGAAGGCGACGTCGGCCACCATGAGATTTGTGAGTTGTTATCCTCAACCCGCGCTCGGTGCCGCTCGATGAAGAACAAGGCCTTTGTGAAGCGTGGAGTGTTGAACAAAAAAGGAGAGGTAATCTTCCCTCGTTGGGAGAGCTTCTAGATTTTGACGCTGGCACTATATGGAATACAAGAGGTACGGGTACCAAGGGTAGTGTCGAAGGTACCGTGTCATCCGTTATCTCCCGAATTGGTGGTTGTGGTGCACAGGTGGCCAGCAATTCCACGGGGCAACTTAGAGCCTTGTACAGTATGATACGACATGAGCACATTTCCAGTTTTTTCTTTTTTTTCGGGTTCTCCCTGGTTGTTACAATTCTCAATAAATTGGTTTAACCTAATAGGTGTACCTTATCATACTGAATACTGCACCTTACATCTTTCTTTGATCCAGTTTTTGTAGTACCCTTGGGGGTACGGTATTGCGCTGAATCCAGTCTCCTGTGCAAGGGAGCAAAATTGTTTCACTCAGTTGTTCGAGTATCCCGGCAAGGGATGCCCTTTGTTTTCCCCCAATTTGAACGATTGAAATCTGTAGTATGCGTTCGTATCCGCCTCTGTAATAGCCTTTGATACAGTAAATAAGTAGGGTGCTAGAATGACCAGCTCTTGAGAGCACATACCCCAGGACATGAAGAAATATTCATCTTGCCAGAGTATTGTATTCCGCCCAGATGGAAACCGGGACCGCAACTGGGGTAGCTTTTCGCATCAAGTTTTCGCATCAAGTTTTCGCATCAAGTTTTCGCATCAAGTTTTCGCATCATTGCCGCGCCAAATACCATACTTATTGCTTTCTCCGTTGCCTTGAATGTAGCAATTGCTCCGTAAGAACATCTCTGCTAGCCGCGACCAAACACCGGGTGACACACTGATGCCCAAGATACAATTCCCAAGATATCAAGTCTACAAATTCTCTGCGTTTTCATTTGCCCACTTGCCATACATTGATTGGATTCAATACAGCACGGAGGCGGAATGGAGATCTTGACACGCAGCGCAACTCCGCGCTCATGTCCGCTATCCATAGCCTCTTTCGAGATCGGCCCCGCCATCGACCATCCTGCTCTCCACGGGACCCGGCCGTCGGCACCTCGTCTCACACAGTCAACGCCATCAACAAAATCACCTGCATCACCCCTGTTCCCACCCCTGTTCCCGCCCGCTATCCCATTCCCACACCACCACCTCAGCCTCCCACTCGCACCCAAACTTCCACCGTCCGAAGCCCCACCATGTATGCAGCACGCCCACGTCCAGTGGCATGGCTTGCGTCCCATCCGCTCACCTCCACTTCCATTCTCCCCAGCCCCGCCCCAACCTCTTTCACCTCCGCGAGACTCCCCCACCGTCTTCGTCACGTCGCGCGCCGCCCTCGCCACCCAACCATCCGTCGCCGCGACACCCCCCATGCCACCGGCCTGTCGCCCTCGTCAGGACCCGACCGTCCGCCAGGCGCCCCGCCCCCCTCACCCGCTAACGATCCACGCGGAATCAACGGCACCTTACCCTTCTACGTTGCCCTTGTCGCCGCCCAGGCCCTCCCGTTCATCTTCCCCCACTCGGGCGTCGCCGGAGACTTGACCTACTTCACCACCACCGCCGTCGCCGCCTTGATCATCGGCTGCCGCCGCGCCCCGTTGGAGCCCTTTCAGTCCCAGCCCATTTCAAAGACACAGGCTATCGCCGCCCCTTTTGCAGCCTCCACCTTTTTGTTTGGAAGTTACCTGCTTTTGAAGTACACCACCGTCAACATCGGCGCCATATTCAATGGCCTCACCACTTTTGCGGGCACACTCTGTCTGAAGGAAGCCTTGGACCCCGTGTTTCATTCTGCCTTGTCCTTGGCCGGCCTGCAGGACCTCGTCCTGTGGCAACAGAACAGTCCACTGCCGACTGCGGAAGGTGACAACATTGAGCCCGCCCGCCTATCTTTGGGCCCCGCGTTGGCATCCGTTGCGGCCATCGCCACTACCGTCGCGTACTTGTCGCACGTCGAGCCCACGTTTGTGTTCTCGAACATGATTGCGCTTGGCATTTGTGCGAGGGTAGTCAGCCTCGTTCGACCAGACTCGTTTGTTGTGGCAGCCGGCCTGCTCTGCGGGCTCTTCTTTTACGACATCTTTTGGGTGTTCGGGTCGGAGGTGATGGTTTCCGTCGCCACCCAGATTGATTCGCCGGGCAAGCTGCTGTTTCCGCGGGACGTTGCAGATGTTGCGAGCTCGACAGTCAAGTACCCGTACGCCATCTTGGGGCTTGGAGATGTTTGCATTCCTGGAATCTTCGTGAGCCTGGCGCAAGCTATGGATTCCGCGCTAGTGCAGGTCAAAAAGGGAGCGAGCGAAGGGGATAGCCCGTATTTCGTTGCGGCTGTCGCGGCGTATGGGGCGGGGTTGTTGAGCTGCTTTGTTGCAAATCTCACGACGCATGTGGCGCAGCCGGCGCTGCTCTACCTCGTCCCAGCTCTTATACTCAGTAGTTTGGGGATGGGTAGCGCCAGAGGGGAACTCAATGAAGTCATTGGGTTTAAGGTGAAAACAGGAGCAGAGGAAACGCAAGAATAGATGACGCCGCATGGAGATGTGGTGCTAACGACTATAGACCAGTTCGAGTCACATATGGAACACCTCTCACACAATGCAACTATACTGGGTGTCATCGGGCTCATGGAAGATACGGCACGGTGACCCATGGGGATTTTTCACGAGCTTCCTGACGTACACTAATATTCGTAGTGGGCTCTTCTGTAGTTTTGATGCCGACTTCCTATTTTGTCGAACAGTCACTTCTGCGGCATTCGTTCGGCATATCCCAAGTGCTTTTCTACCACAGCTTCGAAGACGAACTACTTCCGCCAGGCACCATTTCCCCAGTTCGCCTCCTGTTTCGGATAGAAACGCACAGTTCGCTCTCCCTTGCTGCTTCGGATCACGATCCACACGAGTGAAGAGTGAGGGTTGATAATCCGACCCCTACAGTTTCCCGTACCGTATTGGATAATCCGAACAGGAAGGAAAAGCGACGCAGTGTAAAAAAAAATGGGACAGCTTGCCATTACAATAGACCGGATTTAAATTATTCCCGCCAATTGCAGTCTGGACATATCTTTTGCAACTGACAAGCGCATCGCCTCCATTTAGCAGGCTACTTCCGATACGTACATAAGGTAAAAGGGACAATTCCATTTGCGAACACTGTAGAGACACTTTAACGCTGTCACTACGCTGAACAGGCTTCGGAGCATTGCTATCTCCTAATCGGCGAAGCACGCGAGCGCATGAACGAAGAAGACTTGTGGCAAAGGGAGCCCTGCGCTTCTGAGGTTGTTGTGCTCCTTGTTCAGTAAAGGCGGCAGAATCACTGCTACGCACAAGTCGGTACGCAAGTTTAGCAGACCTGCACAAATGTCGAGGTCTTGTGTTTTTTCTCCTTTCGTTGGACAAGAAAGTATCGCCCAGCGAGCAAGAACCGCAAGCACTTGAGCAAGAATTTATCGCGCCGCGTTTGAGCGCCCTTCTTTCCGCTCTTGCCGATGGATTTCAAGAATCCCGATGATTTTTCGGCCCAGGCTCTACTATCTCAACTGACCGAAGGTAAATGGGTCGCAGCATACACAATCCTTCTCGACCTTACGGGTTTGTTCCGCGCCGGTCATGCCGATGAGCAAGCTTCATCACGCCCACAGGTTTTGGATGCCGTCGCAGAGCTGCACCTCAACGGCCGGGCACCAGATGCGAATAGACTGCGCAACCTCACGTCGGGTTGTGATGATTCTCCGTTAATCGTTCTGTTGCAATGCGGCAATACGAAATCCCGCAAATCTTCTTCCATAATCTCACCATTCTGCGAACCCTCTCTCGACGAGCCACTTAATTCTTTCTTCGCGTTTCGAAAGGGGCGTCAATCTGGATTCCCAGCTGCTTACCACGTCGATCACATTGAGAAAATGGAAGGGACACGGTCGCGAAGCATTTTCCTTACATCTCAACTTGACATTAGCAATGCTGACTGTCTTGCCAACGCTGCCAGATTTGCGTTGGGACAACACAAGAGATGGCTGCGGTCGAGATTGAAGGCGAACGGGCGGTACCTGGCATGGGATGAGTCATCGGTCGTGGATTGCGATACAGATGCGAACTTAACAAAAAACACACACAAAGGCGCCTCAAATCCCAAAAGCCAGAATGTCGAGCTAGTTGGGGAGGCCTTAATCGGACCTTCGAGACTCAAAGAACGTGCTGCGCAGCATGAACACTCCTTGTTGGAACATGTCCTCAACAAGTGTCTAACTGGCTCTCTCCTGGCCAATGACCCCATGGATTTGTCGAGCGGCTTTGGTGCGATGGGATTAGGAAATGAGAACAAGAGCGCTTACGTACAGAGACAACAGGCGAAGGCTAGGAGAAGCAAAGTCCGGGAGTTTCTTCTTCATCAGAAGCCCTGCAAAGGGGAGATATATGATCTCACGACCCGAGCTGCAATCTGCGGAGATGCGTATCAAGATGTATTGACTTTTGCGGAGGCTTACGTTGGAAACCCAAACGGTAGAGTTCTCGAAGCCGTAGTTGAATTTGCGTTTGAGATTTCTCAGCAATACTTCAGCGCACTTTTCCAGAGCGCCTATACGGGGGGGAAACTGAGACAAAGTCGGCCCTGGCTCTTGCTAGAAGTCGGAGAGTCGTTCTTGGCCAGTTTAGTCTGTCTTGCAGACCTTCTCAAAGATGTGGAGAAAACAAATCGCTCTGCGTGTGCCATACTAGACACGCTCTACGACTCTAGATTTCAATACGCAAAGAACAGGGTCTATCAAGAACTGTTTTTCAAGGCCATGGGCCCTTACGCAGAGAGTATTACTGACTGGGGAATGGGGAGATCCGTTCAACGTGATGTCTCAAGTGAGTTCTTTGGATACCACCTTGGATCGCAAATGACCGCATCTGAAACACTTTTCCATCCGGGGGGACAGAGCCATGTCTCCCGTTCCCAGAGACCAGCAGCAATCGTCCCTAAGGTCCTTGAAATTGACGAGGCTCTCTTCGTGTTAAGAGCAGGCCGCTCGAGCAAGCTAGTGAAGCAAGTCATTCGAAGTGACAGATGCACAAGGTCCGACGAAAACCACGCGCCCCGCAATCAACACCTGACCTTGTCTCAACCAACTGTACGAGAAGAAAACGTGGCACGGTTGGAGCCCTTTTCAGTACATTCCATGCAAGTGCAGTTTTCTGATTCCTCTATCAACGGCAAGGGCCGCGCTGACACATCGATTCCCACAGTCGGCTTACGTGATCGTGAAGATACCCACTGCAGAGTTGAAAAAGAAGACAGAGCGATGAAAGGGAAAATGTTTGTTCTTCCGTCCACTCAATCGCTCTGTCAACCCAAGAGCGACCGTCCCAGCATGTTCTCAACGCTGTCAGATTCCGATGGTGAAGCGAATCAGAACGTTGAGCACTCCACAGCCTCAACAAACTCTGAGAGTCTCCCTCTAGCTATATCAGAATATGCGAAGCGCTTGCTATCGCCTCTCAGGTTCAGTGACGATGAAGTGCAGAAGAAAGTGCTTTCATTTTACGTAGAAGACCTCCGAATTTTCGAGCACTTTGGAAATCTACGGGCTCATATTCTCCTGGGGGCCGGTGATTTTGCGACCATTCTAGTAGAGCAAATCGATGCGGCATCTCGACTCTCAGAAGAAGATGAGAGCTATATCGAACGAAGAACGCACGCTGCTTTGACGTTTTATGGGAGTGCCGGACCTGGAATTAGATCACTGCGGGATCAAGTGCATCTAAACCGTTGCCTTCGCATGGCTCTAAACCTCTACAGCAAAGATGCCAAAGCACACACCAACTGTTTGTCCCTAGACGCTGTCGAAGACGAGGGATCAAGAAAGGTTTCGTTGTGGGGAACAGCCGTAGAAGTCCAATACAACGTGGACTATCCACTGGATTTGCTTTTTTCACAGAAAGTACTTGCTATGTACTCCAAGATTTTCAACTTACTGTTAAGGATACTTCGGGCAAAGCGGAGTCTTCGCTCACTTTTCATGACATCAAGGAGAAATAGCGCCCTACGAAGAAGTCCCCACGCGAGGTTTTCATCAGACAAAAAAGTCGGATCAGCCCTATGGGACTTTTGCTGGCAAGCAGAACATTTCGTCAGCGTCTTCGGTGGCTTTCAAACGGAGCAGGTGTTGGGGTCCACTTGGACCGCATTTCAAACGTCATGGGACACAGCTAGAACTATCTGGGAACTCAAAGATTCTCATGTTCAATACCTTAACGACTGCACGCACAGATGTCTATTAGAGAGCCGTCATAAGAGTATCTTGGGGGTCATGACCGAGGGCTTTGACATTGTCATTAACGTCGAGAAGCAACTCTCAATCACCATCGAGGACTGTACAGGGATGGGCAGGAACTCGGGAGATGTTTTCTTCGATCTTCTCAAGTCGTCTTCTGTGAGTCTGCGGCGACGAATTGTGTTTCTTAGGGATGCACTGCAGCGGCTGTTCGATGACGGCCCTCATCCACATCTACATGACTTGTTAACCTCCTTGGGATTTGGAAAAGAATCAAGTCCTTGGTAATAATCTCTGGATTCTGGTTTCCGGTTTGTTCACCAGAGTCCTGTGTGGATTACAGTAACCTTATTGTGAGTTTTGATTTGTCTATACCGTAACATACGTTGAGGACTGCAGTATTTATTTCCATGAGCGATTGACACGGTCCGCCTACATACTGTAGTAGAGAGAAAAACATCCGTTAGCCCCGAAATACATATATCTGATACAGCATGTGCATCTGTCGGTGCAGCCTATTTCTTGTGCTCTTTCATAACTTTGTTTGAAGCTGTTGCCTCGCAAATTCTTCAAGACGCAAAGACTGCTAGGAGTCTTCACACAGGGGTAAATATGTTGATTTCGTGTTGTCTATGCTGGAGTGAAAGAAGTCATAAGCACATATTGGTCAGAAGTCCAGGTGACAAGGAGCAACCCAAAAAATGCCATGCAATTCTTTTTAGGCAACCCATTCGACTTTCGAGAATGGTATCCCCCGTTCCGCGTTGGGCGGGTTTCATCCGTGATAATAGAAATTCCGTTGACAATGCTTGGTCTTACATGCTGAGTTTCGTTGGCACTGCTTGTGAGTATTAAAAGAAAGAGCACCAATTCGTCATCCTTAACGCCACAGTAATAGAGGTGTGTGAGGGCTTCAGATGCCAGGCGTTTTCGGGGTCTGCAGATTCGCAGCTTATCCATAGCAATACTGCTTCTCAGTCGCTCACATAAAGTCTCTATTCCCTTCTGAGAAATTCGAAGAGTTTTCTCCTGTTCATAAAGCGATTGTCAACAATGTCAAACACTGGTTCAAATGATGCAGACGGAAAATATTCTCATCAGGGCTGCACAAGCGGGTATCTCCGCCGGGCGAAAAAGAAAGGAAAGACATTGGCGCTGCGCCGAAAACGATGGTACGCCCTCGACGGTGCAATTTTTTCAAAGCATTTTTACGAGGTAAGTTATTATTTTCTTTCGACGGAAAGGTGATATTCATATTCTATCCTCGTACTGACTTGTATCCGCTGATCTCTTCTTTCGTTTAACCCATAGTCTGTAGAAGCTTCGTAGCACATTAACATCCAGGGATCTGAAATTGAACGACTGGGCAAAACATACTTCGCCATAGTTCTCAAATCTCTTGCAGATGGAGAGGCGGCTTCAGATTTTGATCAAAACAACCTCATCTTACACGCAAAGACAGAAGAGGACTGCACTACTTGGGTTAAAGCACTGAAGTACGCGTCCGTGAGACGAATTGAAAACCATTACACTATCGGACCATTGATTGGGGAGGGTGGTTTCGCACAGGTTCGCCTCGGAAAGTGCATCCATACCGGAGAACCGAAGGCGATTAAAACGATGAAAAAGGATGAAGCCTACGCCAAAATTTTCGGAACAGAAGTTGCGATTATCAAGAAAGTTAATCACCCAAACATTGTGAAAACGTATGATGTTTTCGAAACTTCGATGCACATTCACATTGTTATGGAATACCTAGAAGGAGGGATGCTGTACGATGCAATAGAAGACGGTGTGAGGTTTGACGAGGAAGATATTGCCCAATTCATGCGAGAGCTCATCGATGGTATTCTGTATCTTCATGACATGGGCATAGTCCACAGAGATCTAAAACCTGAGAATGTGCTATGCAAGAGTAGGAAGCCCCCACTTCACGTGAAAATTGCAGACTTTGGCCTGTCAAGCCTTTCAAGCGTGGCTGGGCATAGGGCTAATCAAATGGTGATGTCCACTGTGATAGGAACCCCGGAATTCATTGCGCCTGAAATCGCGAGAAGAGAGGCGTACACAGAAAAGGTTGACATCTGGGCCTTGGGGATGCTTTGCTACAACGTAATATGTGGTGCTCTTCCCATCAATGAAAATATGGATATCCTTCCTCAACTAATGGAAGGAGTAACACTGTCCTTTCCGGAGCCAGAGTGGAGAATGTACAGCGAACTGTCTCGTTCTTTTGTTAGAGCGCTGCTTTGCAATGAACCGAAAAAGAGATTGAGTCCGTTAGGATGTTTGGTGCATCCCTGGCTTGAAAGCCACAAGCCAAAGGAATCAAACAAAGTTGGGGCTCACGGACGAGTCTCTGCGGCTTTGCTAAGGCAAGAACCCAGTAACAGTTTTCGTTTCAGCAGGTCAGGATTGCTATCTCTAGCCTCTCGGGAACGCGTGAGGTTCAAGTATAGCTCTGATGTTAAAAGGTATTGGAAGGTAGCCTACATGGCTGTCGTAGCAGTGAACTGGTTTGACTCGTTTATTCATCCTGAACGTTACAAGACTTTTGCTTCTGAGTCGCACGCGAAGAGAACATCTCATACAAGCTCGCGTGAAGGCAGGGAATCGGAGAACAATGGTGAGCAGTCCAATGATTTTTGTATGCCAGATACGGATATGGCAATGTACGCCAGCGATACGGACGATGATTCGGCAGTGTTTTCTCCTTTCTTGTCAAAATCAATTACTGAGGAAGAGCAGTCAGGAAGGCTCTTAAAAGTAATCCAATCGAAACGAAAGTCCACAGGCCAGGAAAACAAGTTGACAGAGAAAGTTAGCTCTCTGCGGCCTGGGCACACGACTGCTCCAGGACGTATACGTAGTTTTGAAGGACAGAAGAAAAACACCATGAACAAATTCTTGAGTGCAATTTCCCAAGGGAGAGAGAAGAGGCTTGCACCAGTGAGGAAGTTCTCCAAGAGACTTGGCCTCATCGGTGAAGACAAGAAAAGAAGATCCGCGGCACTGTCATCAAAGTCGAAGGCAGACTTCGATATGGACCTAAAGAGTCTTAACGTGGTGTCTGTTCAGGACGGGGACATTCAGGGCTTGGATGATTTTGAAGACTCTGTTGTGTCTTCTCCTTCTTCCTTGTTTGGCAAAAGGCATAAATCCTTGATGAGAAATTTGAAAAAGAAGGTGACTCCCTCGTCGCCTACGACTCCGTCGCCGAAGTAAGGCCCGATTCACTATCGACAAAAGCAGAACACGAGAGAAATGGAACGCACAGTCCAGGGCATAGTTTGCACAGAGATATTTCGTTGGTTGTCTATTTTCCCATCGACTGAGAAAACTGGTGGGCAGGGCATACGCCAGATTTGCCCACTTCGGGAGTAAAGAGTAATTAGTAGCAGAGAACGGAAGGCGGGAAGGCTGTTTTCTTTTTTTTTGCAAATGTGGGGCCTTAATACGATCACTGATGCCGTAGACCTCCAGTCTTCCTCACCAAGCCAACGCCTGGGGCAGTAGCAGAAGAAGTGTGTAGGACCCTCAACAAAAAGATTACAATATCGACGTTGCGTATGCTACAAATATCGTTTTCCTGCAACGCATGTCTCGAATCCACAAACCATACAGTAGCTGCAAGATGCGTACGTAAAATAGCTCTTCTCATTGATGTAATCTTAGCATCGAAACAGTTTTTGCTGGCATACTAGATCATGTGGATACACGGTCATACCGCATCATGCGGAAGAACTGCTTGCGCTCTTGAACTGTGAGCTGCGGTTCGCTTTATTGAAATAGGAAGAAGCGTTTCAGCCTCTGGAAGCAGAGGGCAGCGGAAAAAAAAAAAAATCTCATGGGCACGCTTGTCGGGTAGCCGATTTAATCGTTTCTACTGCCTCTCTCCCATCTCCTACTGTATGAAGAGGAGTATGTCATCTAGATGGTCTACCTGAGAAGCATGGGAGTTTTGTCACAACGTGATGACGCGAAAGATGATATAAACCTCAGAGACTTGAGCCCGATCACGCTGCTGCGATTATATAAGAACTTGCATAGAAATTTTGCATACAAAACGCCTCTGTAACAGTGCTCTTCCAATAACAAAGCCACAACGCCAGGCTCAGAAATTTCACCTAAAACTCGCCTGCACCTCATCCCATTCTACTCACCAAGCACAACGGGTGGGATACGCTGAACGAACACTGGCTTCTCGTTCCTCTTACTACACCCAATTGGCAGCACTGCGTCGTCCTCACCGCCAGAAACATGTCCTCGTCTCTCCTCTTCCACGCCCCCATTCTCTTACCCCGCACATGCCGAAAACACAGGCTTCTCTACCGACCCCGACCCCGCGCCTGCGCGGCAACCACCACCACCTCCAGCTCACCAGCGCTGCACCTGTCCTCTCAAGGTGCGCGGCACATCGCCGCGCCCGTGATCGCCGCCATCCGCGACGTGTACACGCGCGCGAACGGGGCGTTGCACCGCGGCAGCTGCGCGCACACGCTGGGCCGGCACGCGTCGGAGCTGATGGAGGATTCGCGCACGCAAGTAGCGAGGTCGGTGGGCGCGAGGGACCGTAGGGAGGTTATGTTTGCGTCGTCGGCGTATGCGGCGGCCAGCGTGCTCGCCCACTCGTTTGGAAGCACGCTAAAAAAGGGCGACCAGGTGTTGCTGTCGGCGATGGAGAGCGATCATATGGTAATCCCGTGGCGTGTTGCGGCGAGGAAGTGGGGGTTCAAGCTCAAGGTGTTTCGCCCAGATATGACGGAGGGCGGGGAATTCGCGTTTGGAGAGTTTGCAGGGATGGTTTCGGGTAACACGCGGCTGATTGTCTTTCAGCACGCGTGTCCAGTCTTCGGTTCATTTAACCCGTTGAATGAGTTTATGGAGTTTGCGACGGGGTGCGGGATTCCTGTTGCCGTTGATGCGACGCATTCTCTACCCTGGGGAAAGGTGAATGTCCAGCAACTGCGATGTGATTTCTTGCTTGTCGACTGCGGAGCGATAGGCGCCCCGCGGGGTTCAACGTTTCTGTACGGGCGAATGGAGAGGCTTCAGCGATTGCCGCCAGTTTTGGGCGGGGAGGATACGTTTGAGCAGTTTTACATGGGCAAGCTCAAGGTCAAGTTAGCGAGAGATGTTTCTAACTGGGCTTCAGTCCCTGAGCGATTTGAGGTTGGCTTACCACCATTGGCGGTCGGAACGGCTGTGGCAACGGCCTTGCGAGAACATGAGCGGAACATGGACAGCGACTTGATAGCACGTGGAGAACAGCTCGGAGCGAAGCTATATTTGGAATTGAGCTCGAACCCTCGGCTCAAGGTGTACGGAAATGCCATGACGCTGAGGATCCCTTGCGCCACCTTTACTGTCGACGATGCTGACGAAGCCGCCCTAGCTGAACAATTGCGCAAGCACAATACCTTCATTGACGTCGGGTCGCATGGCTCCCGAGTCGCCCACAAAGAGGAGCTGCAGGTAGAATCTTCTTTGCGCGTTTGTTTGGACCCCCGGATTCACACCCTCGAAGACGTCTCAAAATTTTGTCATGTAGTTGAAATCGCATTGAAGGAGCTCGATGGCTAGACACTCATGCTCTGCCATACTAGTACATGTTTGAGCCGCGCGGGCGGTGTGCAGATACTAGCTGTTTTTTTAGGCTAGGTGCATCCTCAGTGCGATCCTTTGTCGTGTCAAGTTGACCCGGATCACGGTATCCGCCGCATAGGAAAATCAGCAGCTGGGGATAGCCAGGGTGTTGGTACTCGCACGGCATAGACGGAACGGCAACTGTTTTCTCACCCCGCGTCTTTGTGTCTGTCCCCTGAAAAGGTGATATCAGCCTATTCCATAGCTCGTGACCACCCGGCGCGAGCGGATTCTCAATCTTCTGGCCGGGGCGGCATTGCCAGCAGCATATGAAGGCCTTCCCTGGGGGTGATCTTGCCATCCAGTATGGCTGCGACGCCGTACAAAATGGGATACTTGAGACTTGCGCGAATAGCCATGGGGGAGTTCTCCTCGCCGCCCCCCAGCCATTTGACGAGGGCCTTTGCCGTGGCGACGCCCTCTGCAATCTGCATGGACGTGCTCAGAATATCCTCGAGCTTCTCACCCCTGCCCAGGCGCACGCCCACGGTGCGGTTCCTACTCAGCGGTCCAAAGCAGGTCAAAAAGGTGTCGCCCACGCCGCTGAGCCCCGCCAGCGTGACAGGCGACGCGCCCTGGGCAATGGCGATGCGGCGCATCTCGCTGCAGCCCCGCGTGACGAGGGCGGCCATGGAGTTGGTGCCCAGGCCCAGGCCGTCGCTCATGCCCGCGGCAATGGCGATGACGTTCTTGATGGCGCCAGCGACCTCCAGGCCGACGGTGTCCGTCGATGTGAAGACCATAAACGACGGGGACGAGAGCATGTCGCAGAGGCTGTTTGCAAAGGTGTGGTCGGCCGACGCGACGACGACGGCGGTGGGCAGGCCCTGGATGATCTCCTTGGCGAAGGACGGGCCGGACAAATAGGCGTACTTGCGCTCGGTCCCCAGAATGGTGGGGAGCAAGTCGCACATGAGCTCGAGGCGGGAGATCTCGAGCCCCTTGGACGTGCACAGGACGGGGAGGTGGGGCGGGACGAAGGGGGCGATGCCGGTGACGAACTCGCGCGAGACCTGGACGGGGACGGCGTGCACGCAGAGCTTGGCATCGCGGAAGGCGGCGGCGGGGTCCGTGGTGGCCGTGAGGTTGTCCGGCAGCAGGTACTCGGACAGGTACTTGGGGTTGCGGTGCTCCATGTTGATCTCGTCGCTGACCCAGGCCTTGCGCACGAGGAGCGAGACGGGGTAGCCGTTCCGCGCCAGCAGGTTGGCCATGGCCGTGCCGAACGAGCCGCCGCCGCACACGACGACCTTCGTCTGCGCCGCCTGCTGCGGAGAGCGCCGTATGCGCGAGCGCACTAGCCAGTCCTCCTCGCTGTACACGCCTTCGGAGGGGCGCAGGTGCGATGGCGGGCGGTTCGGGGGGAGCGCGCAGCGCGGTGGGCGCCGCGACGTCGCGCGGCGGGCGTGGCGGACGGCCGCGAGCGGGGTGGCGAGGGTGAAGGCGGGGCGGGGGCGGCGCTGGGCGGGGGAGGGCATGGCGATCGGCGTGGGGGAGGTGGAGGGGAAGGGGAGGGGAAGGGGAGGGGGGGAGAGGGGTTTTCGGATAGGGCTGGATCAGAGATGAGGAGGGGGATGCGGCTCATGGGCCGGTTGGGATCACGGACGGGATAGATCAGGGGATGACGGGCGAGGTGGACAGGGGGATCGGCCGTTTCGTTACAATTAAGTGTCCTGTACAATACAGAAGAGAAAAGCTATTTTAAGGGTACAATATGCCGTTATAGATCACGCAGAAACAAGCACCCGTTCTT